CGCATTGACATGATTGGTTGACGGTAGGTGGTGGCGGCAGGTCCTGTATAAACACAAACTCACCTCCTTGACAACAACTCTGCGCTGTTCAGCGAAGCGCAAGTATGAATGCCCTGACTTCTGCAGAGGCCGTATATCTGTAAATGCTGCATTGCCAACGCAGACCTCAGATTGACCATGCAACACCTTACCCCATCCAACACCTTACCCCATCCAACACCCCTGAACCTCCATCCAACACCTTACCCCATCCAACACCTTACCCCATGCAACACCTTACCCCATCCAACACCTTACCCCATCCAACACCTTACCCCATCCAACACCTTACCCCATCCAACACCTTACCCCATCCAACACCTTACCCCATGCAACACACCCATCAAACCTTAACCCACAAATTACCCTCAAAAACCTTACCCATCCAAAACTTACCCACAACATACCCCAACCCACCAAAACCCCCCCCCCCTTACCCCATCCAACACTTACCCATCCAAACCAATCAAACACCTTACCCCAATAACACTTAAAATAAACAAACCCTAAACCTACCCAAGCAACACCTTACCCCAATGCAAAAATTACCCCATCCAAAAACCCCTTTCCCATAAACCTTACCCCATCCAAAAATTACCCAAACAAGGGAAATCCAAGTCAACCCGGGGAATTTTGACCTTTCCCGGGGGACAGTTTTAAAGAGAGAGAGGAGGGGGAAAAAGGGAGGAGAGAAGGAAAAGAGGGGCGGGAGGGGGAGGAGAGAGTGGAGGGAGAGAGAGGAAAGAGAGAGAGAAGAAAAGAGGGGGAGGAAAAGAGGAGAGAGACGAGAAGGGGGGAGAGAGAGGGAAGAGGGGAAAGAGAGAGAGAGAGAGAGGGGACAGGAGAGGGGGGAGAAGGGGGAAAAGGGGAGGAAAGGGGAAAAGAAAAGAGAGAGAAAAAGACTCACTGTGCTAAAACCCCAAAATCACCCCTCTGTGTGGGGTCTCCCAGTCTACCAGTTCCTTTACCGTCTCCCATTGTTTAAATTTTGGGTTTTTCTTTTTGGGCAGACGCTCTTACCAGAGCGATTTTACGGGTTAGGAGTGCTACATTATATAAAAAAAAAAAAATTTTTTTCTACTGGCCCCCCATGGGAATAAAAACCAAAAACGGGGTTTGTTTGAAAAACGCCATCCCTTACCAACTGAGCTCCCACCCCTGCCGGCCTTTCCCCCTCCCCTACCCTGGCCAATTTTTGGCCCCCCCCCCATGGGTTTTCCCCCGGTCGCACCCGGCAAAGAAGAGCCTGGATTCAAACAAGGTCTCTATGGAACGCGGGCACTGCGATGCAGGGGGGGGGGGGGCCTTAGCCCACCCCCGCCCGGGGGAGAGGGTTCTAAAGTTTCTAACAGTGTACCATGTTCCAGTCTCCCCCAGTCAAACAGTCAAAAACCCCCTACCGTTCCCAGTCTACCAGCTACCGGGTTTACCGGGCTACCAAAAACCCCAGGACACTTACCAGTTACCAGTCTACCAGTACCGGGTTAAACCAGTCAAACCAGTCAAAACCGAAAAAAACCAGTCTTACCATTTCAACCAGAAAAACCAGTCTCCCAGTCACCATTTCAACCAGTTTCTTACCAGTCTAACAAAAAAACCAGTAAAACCATTTCAAACCAAAAAGCTACAGTCAACCAGTTCTAACAGTCTAACGGGCTACCAGCAAACCATTTCCCCAGAAAACCAGTCAAACCAGTTCCAGTCTCCCGTCAAACCATCAAACATTTCAAACAGTCTCCCAGTCTCCAGTCAAAACAGCAAAAAAGTCAAAAATTTCTCCCAATTTAAAACCCGTCAAACAGTCAACAGATCAAACCAGTTTTCCATTGACCAGTCTACCGGTTTCCCCGTCAAAACGGGTCAACCATTTAAACCAGTCAAACATTTCTCCCAGTCTGCCCCAAAGTCTCCCAAGTTTCCAATTTAAAAGTTTCTAAAAAGTCTCCCAAATTTATACCATTTTTTCCAGTCTACCACTCCCAAGTTCCCAAGTCTCCCAATTTACCATTTTTCCCAGTCTAAAAGTTAAAAAACCCCGGGGTTTTAACCAGTCAAACGGGTTACCGTTTCCCAGCTACCAGTCAAACCCATTTCTCCCAAAGGTTCCCAGTCAAACCATTTCTACCAGTATCCCAAGGGTTACCAGCACCCAGTTCCCAAGTTTTCCCCCAGTTACCAGTTCTACCAGTTTAAACCGTTCCCCGGGTAATTATCCCAAGTCTCCCATTTTCCGTCTCCCGTTCCCATTTAAAGTCTCCCCGTTTTAAACAGTCTACCAGTTTCCCCAGCGACCATTTGAACCAGTTTTCCCCAGTCACCTTTTTACCAGTTTAAATTTCTCCCCAGTGTCCCCAGTCATTTCCCCCGCGGGCTAAAGTAAACAGTTTGATATGTTTGAAAGCCTTTTTGGGCACCCCGCTTTTCTGTCCTCGGGCCCCAAGGGGAAGGCCCAGGGGCCTAGAGGGGGAGTTTGGGGATAATAGCTAAAATAGGGGACAAAATAGAGAGTTTAGAAAAAACAAAATTTTAATTTTTTACCCACTAACCGGTTTAACTACCATGTCAACCCCCAGGTATAACATTTTTACCTGTCTAACAAACCATTTTAAATCCCCGGATAACACGGCCCTGTTTTAACTACCATGTTAATACCCGGTATAACCTGGTACCGTAACTACCATTTTCAAGACCAGGTATAACACGGGTACCTGTCTAACTACCATGTTAATACCCGGGTATAACACTGTACCTTCTAACTACCATGTTAATACCCAGGTATAACACTGTACCTGTAACTACCATGTCAATGACCAGGTATAACACTGTACCTGTCTAACTACCATGTCAATGACCAGTATAACACTGTAACCTGTCTAACTTACCATGCCCAATACCAGGTATAACATGTACCTGTCTAACTACCATGTCAATGACCAGGTATAACACTGTTACCTGTCTAACTACCATGTTAATGACCAGGTATAACACTGTACCTGTCTAACTACCATGTTAATACCCAGGTATAACACTGTACCTGTCTAACTACCATGTTAATACCCAGGTATAACACTGTACCTGTCTAACTACCATGTCAATGACCAGGTATAACACTGTACCTGTCTAACTACCATGTCAATACACAGGTATAACACTGTACCTGTCTAACTACCATGTCAATGACCAGGTATAACACTGTACCTGTCTAACTACCATGTCAATGACCAGGTATAACACTGTACCTGTCTAACTACCATGTTAATACCCAGGTATAACACTGTACCTGTCTAACTACCATGTCAATGACCAGGTATAACACTGTACCTGTCTAACTACCATGTTAATACCCAGGTATAACACTGTACCTGTCTAACTACCATGTCAATGACCAGGTATAACACTGTACCTGTCTAACTACCATGTTAATACCCAGGTATAAAGGACAAGAATCCATCAACCATATCCATCCTTCACTAGCTGCCATTCAGCACTGCAATTATTCTGCAATTACTGCGTCCAAAATACTACATTACTACTGCAGTAACTGTACTTTTACTACAGTTTCAAAACTGCTATCTTTTTTTTTGTAAGGGCCAAGCTGCTCAGTCAGAAAGTCATTATCACAGGGGCTACTTGGAGCAAAACAACAGGCATCTCTGTCATCATTACGCACTGGTGTGTGTGTGTGTGTGTGTGTGTGTGTGTGTGTGTGTGTCAAAGAGGGTGAAGTCATCTCTTTAAGCAGACATCTAGCAGTAATTAGCGGTGATTCTGCAGCACGCAGACAAGCAGAACAAAGCGGGAGATAATTTACTTGACGTGTTCACCAGCAGCCAGCAACACACACCACGTTATTTTGATTGACAACTGAACCAACGTTTCCCTTGTCCCCTAGTTCCTCCGCAACACGTCAGACGGGAGGGCGTTCCTTCCCTGGGAGGGGCGCGCCCATCGAGAGATAATTGGATGCATCTTGATGTAGAGCTACGTTACCCACGTGGGGAGCATGCGTAAAACTCATTCTTCTAGATGGTGATTGGATAAGATGATGATGATTGACAACATAACGGGACGCGCTCTGTGCTCTTCAATGATCTTATTGGCTGCTTATAATGACTACTATTCCTTGTGACCATCCACACCTCCTCGGGTCAGAGGTGTGCCGAGACGCATCAAGAAACTGTAGTTTTTTTTTTACATAGCTTACAGTATTAATCACTGGCTGCTATGCGTATTGGAACTACACATCCCAGACACACCAGATAGCGCTTTTCCTTGTTATGAATATATAATAGCGTTCTTAGGACTGGTTGCTTCTAAATGTGTTGTCAGAAGGTGGTACCTAGCCAGAGGTGGTCGGCAGGACTTGCGCGGGAGCGGGATGTATGGAAGGGATTTAAACTAACGAACATAACCTTCTGACAGGATGCGCTAACAGCCAGATATTCTGCAGCTGTATTCAAAGAAAGACGGAGCATCCTCCCAACATATGCAGTATTTGAACTGCAAATGAATGAAGCAGCGTGATTGAACAGGATGTATCCGAGACTATAAGGTAGAGAAAGTGATAAGGCAACCTGGTGAAGGTGAAGAAAATACATCTGAAAGAAAGCAGAGAATAGGCTACATTAATCGAAATAAAATATATTCTTAGGACAGGAGAAGAGCCTACGGCATTGTAGCCTATCCAAGCTCAGATTTGAACACATTCTACATGGTTGCTCATCTTCTACACCTAGAAGAGAGCCGAGAAAACCCGGAGCTCATCACTTGGAGGGAGGAGTTGTATCAAATTTGGCTGGTTAATTAATAGAATGTCTTATTGGTTTCAGCGGAGGTGTGGAGGTTTTCCCGCGGTTGTCTGCAGAGGTATTGGCTCTCATCCCCTCTACCTGCCCGCTGGTAGATCCTAGAGCCGGGACTGATCTGTCCGTATTCCCCTGTTTGTTGGTGGATGAACTTCA